CCTGGGACGTAAAAGTGACATAAGTCGATTCAATATTTAGCGTGCACCTTCTTGAGCAGGATAGAAGTAGGATGAGCAACAAATGTTTGTTTTTCCCTGATGTAACTTTACTGTACCTGTTTGTTCACTTTTATGATATATGGAAGAGAAAACCTGTTATTTGTGAAGGCTTGGATTATTACCTTTTGATTTTGTCTTGAACTGTAACTAACCCTGTCCATTACTGGTTTTGTTGAGCCCTGACATCTTACTACTATCTATCTAGTTGCTGAACTCTCACATTTTTTTATATAAGGATGATATAATGCTTTTAACAGAATTTTTACTTTGTTAGTTGATCAATCTTTTGATGACTTATGAGTTTTCTCACAAGAAGTTTGTTTTTATATGTGCAGTACCTGCTTGTCAAAATTTGTACAAGAACTCTTTTACCTATCATTTTGTGCAGTATGATCTAAAGCTGTTGTTTGATGATGCGATTCAGTTTTTACTTGAGTCCTCACTACTCGAGTACTACAATATAGTTTTCTATTCTTCATCACGTATTGCTTACCAGTTAAGGTTTTATAACAAAATTGAAGAGTTTTTTATTTTGTGATGCAATGTTTGAAATGCATATGCTGCATAGGAAATGCATTTGAAATTATATTGTAAAATGAATAATAACTTTTATTGCATCAAATTTTTTCTTTCTTCTTACATTGGAACCTCACAAATTTGTTAATCAAAGCTATGTAAAAAATGGATATAATGGGGAATCCTCTAAAAACATATTCAAACAATTTGGAAATCAAAATAAGTTTCCAACACATGATCTGATAACAACATTGAAATTAAAAAATTTAATTTGGAACACAAAATGAATACCTAAAAGGATTAAAATAAGTTTTTGTTCACATCCGAGGATCAGCACCCTCCCCTCCCCCAACCTCTCATTTTCTATCTCATACCTTGTATGACTACAGTTCTTTTTAACAAACGTGTTGATTATCAGGCGTTAAAAAATAACAAAAAATTAAAATAAATAAATAAATAAATGGCAGTCATTACTTACTCAAGAGTTGGAGCTCGACAGAGTCGGCTCTTAGCCTGATGACCTATCTACCAACTCCCACACGTGACCGCCATAAAAGTCGAAGAACCGCCATCCCCGAATCTCGTGCGGCAAGTCTTGCACTCGTTTCAGAGCTCATGAGTCTTCTTTGTCAAGGGCTCTACCTCATGGGTACCAAGATGGGATCGAAGTACTTGTTTTCGATCCCGCCTGTTTATTTGCTTTGCCTGTAGAACACCAGGAATTTATGGCAGAAGGTGAAAGCAACGAAATCAACTACATGTACGATACGATAACGCTGCTAACCTAAACAGATAACCTAAAGTTCAAGCGCGCACATCGAACAATAAATTCAGCATAATCAAAATATAGTCGTCATCACTGGGGAGTTTAANAGCCTAATTGTTCCACTAAAAAAGACAAGAGAAATTTATTTTCCGTAAATAATTACAAATAACCCATTGACATATATTCCTGAAATAAAGATGAATCTGAAGATTTAATGATTTAGTTTTAACTCTGAAGTTCAATGTCCAGTTTCCATCAGTTTAAACTGTCGCAATAGTTTTTGCTATTACCAGTGCATTTACTATTATAGGGCAGCACCTACCAGAACAGTGTTTCCCGAGTAATTTGTGCTTGCAAGCTCGTACATGTTTATCTTTTGAACTACATATATTAGCCATTTAATTTATGTTTCTAATTAGCATTGCAATTAATTTGTTAAACAAATCAAATTTCAAAAGGAAGAATTGTTGAAATACCATAAGAACACATTCAAACTTGGATACCTTTACTCTCGTTTGTATAATATAAATCTAAACCTTGAAATCAGTTTCAGTAATGGGGTTACAAAAGTTAGTTCAAACGTTTTAGTAACAGTCTTTACAGGCAATGGGGTTTATACAACTTCAAAAAGTACCTTATCCTATACCTGCTGGATGGCAATCCTCCATCACCATAGTAGTACTGCTTTGTAGTCTCTTTAGCAAACTCAGCAGGAGTCATTCCAACCTTTAACTGTGACAACAAATGCGGCATAATCTCATAGCCCATATGATTTCTTGACACCAAGCATATCTTCAGAAAGAGAAAAAGTCTTGCTCTAATGCGGGTGTATAAACAGAACAAAAATCTCCTAGATCAAATCATCCATTTCCACAGGCCCGCACACAATGTAAATTTAACAAATAAAAATCACATACAAAAAACCCTAGCTCACCCCATAAAAATCTCCGATCCATATTCATCAGTATCATCCGTGAAGAAGGGTAGATATGATGGTCAGTATCGTAGCCACCGGTGGCAGCGCCTCACTGAAGGTAGTTAAAATTGACGACTTTGCTCATCCTTGNTCTAAACCTTGAAATCAGTTTCAGTAATGGGGTTACAAAAGTTAGTTCAAACGTTTTAGTAACAGTCTTTACAGGCAATAGGGTTTATACAACTTCAAAAAGTACCTTATCCTATACCTGCTGGACGGCAATCCTCCATCACCATAGTAGTACTGCTTTGTAGTCTCTTTAGCAAACTCAACAGGAGTCATTCCAACCTTTAACTGTGACAACAAATGCGGCATAATCTCATAGCCCATATGATTTCTTGACACCAAGCATATCTTCAGAAAGAGAAAAAGTCTTGCTCTAATGCGGGTGCATAAACAGAACAAAAATCTCCTAGATCAAATCATCCATTTCCACAGGCCCGCACACAATGTAAATTTAACAAACAAAAATCACATACAAAAAACCCTAGCTCACCCCATAAAAATCTCCGATCCAGATTCATCAGTATCATCGTGAAGAAGGGTAGATTTTATGGTCACTGTCGTAGCCACCGGTGGCAGCGCCTCACTGAAGGTAGTTAAAATTGACGACTTTGCTCATCCTTGTTCTTTGCGCTGCTGAGCTTCACGGATGGCGTGTCTTTGGAGAGACCAGTTGAGCCCAAAATCGTGAGAATTGGTGGATTACTCGAGCGGTGAAAATTCTCCTCCAGTTCAATCGCATAGTTCTTCAGGCCGATTGTGTGGAAATAATGGTTCAGCCTTGTGCTTTCTCTCGCTTAAAAAACGCTCATATCCCAAACTCCTTCCCGCCATCGTCCACCGCATATGCAAACTCAACTCTGTCTGCCGCTCTGCTTGTGTTGCCGCCTTTACCTGCCTCTCCTAGAACTCCATGTCTGCCCCTTTAACCTTTGTTGGCAACAATTTCTCGAAGCCCGATTCATGGTAGGACCAAAACGCACAAACCGACGTCGCCTGTGCCTGGAGGCGCTAATTGAGGCATCGATGATCCGAACGCAATCGGAGATTGTTGCCGAAAGGCGTGTGAAGAAAGTGAATTCCTAACAATCGGTCAGAAGATGTCCAATCGCTATAAGACGTGCGACCGAAGAAAAATTTATGAGAGATTGTATTTACCCTACTAACCCCTGAAAACCGATTAAAGTAAGGCCATTTAGGTTGCGCCGTACCATTACCGTCTCAAATATACATTCTTCAAAACAGCACCGAGAAAATCCACAGAATTGCGCCGTACCATTACCGTCTCACCATATATCCCGGGACCTGCCACAGACGTCTTTGAATGGGAAAAATTGTCGGCCTCATGGCATAAACTAAAGAAAATACACTGGGCCAGACGTAAAAAAGGAACCAAAAAGGGGTATTTTTGTCTGAAAAAAATGCCACATGTCAAGCATATAACGACTCATACTTTTGCTTATATGTAAGAGGGAGATATATATAATTACTGATAGTATTTAAGAAAACTTATTAAATTTTACTTNAAAAAGAATCCGATATGGGGGTTCAAATGACAATTAAGAAATAGGATTTTCGGGATAAATATAGGAAAAGGGTCATATGGCCCCTTCCTTAATATTTGTTTGTTCCGTGTACAGATGACATAAACAGAATCATCCAACTAAGTATTCCACTATTACAGTCGATATGAGTTAACCACACACTTGTTGAAAATTCTCATCAAATGTCTTTGGCCAACAATCACCCTGAATTCGCTTTGCTGCAGAATCCAAAACCTCTGCACGACGTGAATCTAATAACTAATACATTTGAAATTCTGAAACCTTAAACATAACAAAGTTAGGATTTGTACCTTGTATCTAATATATCCAAGGCTATTATCCCAAATGAGTCAACAAACTCATGGTAAGTCTTCCTTGTGGGATAGCCTGCCAAACTTACACGGACAGCTTCTAATACACCCTGCAGGAAGACAGATAACATCATACACAATCACTACAACTACAAATCTTGTAAACAAATAAATAAACTCAGCATGACAACTGCAACTTCAGTATATTATCTATCACAATCCTTTTCCTCGAGTTACCCACACAAATTTTCCGTACACAAGGAACAACAACTGATTTACTAACTGAGGTAAACCTAGCAGTATTGCTATTGTTGAAGATATAAAATCATGCAAAGATCATTAAATATTTTGATCTTAAGGAATATAAAACCACAAAAGTTGTTGCATCGATTCACGTCCTGCACAAATTAATGGAGACTGGAGGCAGACTACACTAGAGAGAGCATTTTGAGATGGGGAGACAAATTTAACCAAAGCTTGTTTCAATATGTATAGTCATTGGGCAATACTGACTGTAGAATGCTTGGAATCTCAAACCTGTGAGGCTTATTTAATGAGTTGGCTTCACACATCAAACATATTGAGGGTTTCCATGAGAGCTTGAAGTTGTTGCTGCAAGCAAAGTGCTCAACAAGTGAGGTGCTATCATGAATTCATGAAGTCCAATACATGATGTGTACCGAAGAAAGTTATCCACATAAGAAACAAAATAAGAAAAAGGAGCAAAATATTGTTCTCTACCAAAGAGGTGAAAGTTCCATGACCAAATCAGTCAGACATTGTAAGTCAAACCAATGCAAGATGAACAACAAATAACCATTATGTTAAAGCAGAGAAATCTCACTACACACTAACTACAACCACCATCCCATTTACAAGATCAATAACAATCAGATTTGATCTTCATGGAAGATTCTGCAAATTATATCACAAAGGAAAACAAATATTTGCTAGTAAGAAACCAAATAATAAAAGCTCCTTTTCTTTTACAGAAAATGCAATAACAGATGACAGCAAATGCAATACAGATGGTAAAATCCCCCAAAAAAGTTAAAAAGAACTATGAAATAGAAGCAGCAAAAAGGTCAAAATTTCCGTGATAGAGAAGCTTTAGAGGGTGTTTGTTTATAAACATTTTTAACCATACTCAAAATCTAACTCAACCCCGTCATCTTCAATATTATCGATATAATTAAATAATATCAACCATTCTTACACATCACATCAACTTTAATTCACTATTCATCAACTCACATAATTTTAACTAATCATCACTTCACATCATCTCTCTTCTATATTTACATCAAATCAACTTTAATTAGTTTATTTTAAATATTATTTTAACATAAATTCAAAATCTCAGTAACAATTAAGCATACAACAATTTTCAAAATTAACTCTGGTTAACAAAAAAAACTCGTTTTGAGCGGATATATTTGTATCCAAGCACGCCCTTAGTACCTTAAACCAAGAGGCCGCTGATGAGAACTTATATGATGATCAAGCCGATTCTTAAGGTAAAGAGGGAAAGAGGCCAGATATGAAACGACACGAGGAAGAAGCTAAAAGATTGCAACATATTATAATCACGGTGTTTGTCTAAGAATGTCTCTGTCTGGTAGTTCACCTAAGAGGAACAAACCTTATAGTAAATAATTGCCAGGATACCTTATTACTAATAAGCAAAAGACCATGGGATAGGACGTACCCTGCCAGCATAATGAGAAAAAACAAAATCTGTTTCAGAAAATTTGGCTTTCTCTAATCAGCGGTGAGAGCGGAAATTCTGGAATAGCTTGTTTGAAAATGTTTCATGAGTTGATTTCAGAAATATGCTGCAGGACAAGGAAGGAGGGGCCTACGATAAGTAATAACCAATATTTAAGTAAAAACCATGAACCATGAACTGATAAGATAGAACACCAGACATACCAAGCCTCATCCAGAAGAGCAATTATTCCTATGGGTTTCCGCAAAACATAGCCAATACCGATATACAACATGATCGTACCACATATGTAAGAAAATAATAAGAAATGGAATGAAAAGGCAAAAGAAAAGAGAAAAGAAATTAACTATAATGGCGTACCCTGAATTCCCAATTTTTTTCTATTTCTCTTTCTAAAACTATTCTCAAATTTACCACGAGCTCGATAGGCTTAAAACTAGACTCCTACCTTAAATTAAAAAGCAACCCCAACTGACCTATGTTGGCCACAACAGATGCAATAATCTTTTTGCATAGAACAACATGTAGCTGGAGTAAGTTCCATACTAAACTTTCCTAAAACATGATGTGCACGGAGAAAAGAAAATACCACTATGTGCCATTTCTAGCATTAATCCAACAGCCTTCTAGAGACTCTGAAAGTGGTGAGGCACTCACATATATTCCATTAAGAGCATATCGTCACCCTCACCCAAGATTATCAGGAACACCATCATCCACGCCTCCAAGGTCCGACTCCCCATCACGTGGGTGAAACTTTTCCGGCACCGTCAATACCTACACCAAACACGAAAATTCAAAAGCCCAGCAGCATCTAAATTTAAAATATAACCAAGAGAGAGAGAGAGAGAGAGAGCGAGCATACAAAATTCACACTCATTCAGAGACGACCTAATGAATTACACATCGTGTAGCATCAAAATTAAGCTGAAAATATAAGTTACAGCCACCCATACTTTCAAACCCTCTAGAAGAGCCATTATTCAGTGATTTTTTATTTTTTTTCTGATTTCTCACTTGCTCGAGGATTTCAAAAGTCCTAAACAAGAACAAAAAATTTGAACTTCATGAACTTCAAAAGAATTCACAGACCTAACATCCATAGGCAGTGAGAAATTTTCAGCTTCCCGCCCCTAGGAAATGGGAAAGGGATATTGGATGGTCGATTAAAATAACTAGCTCGATGCGGGATATACTATAACCTAGCATGGAAGTCGGAGAATTCCGAACTGTTCCGAAAATCAAACCGAAATCACTTCAAATCAAAAAATATCTGTTGACCGTTTGACTTTATCCGAATCGAAACGAACCGAAAAAATAATTGGTACGGTTCTGGATATTTCATAAATATCCGTACCGAGAACCGAACCGAACCGTCCCGTACCGTACCGAACCGAAGAATCGAAATCAAGAACCGAATTATAAAAATAGATGTGTGTTATTAATATATTTTATGTCAACTTTGATCCTATATAATTTGAAGATTTTTAAAATGCAAATAAAACATAGCAATAACAATTAAAATTCACTTACATTTCATGTTTAGTAATACTTAATCTATAATTGGATTTCTTATGTTTAAAAAAAATTAAATGGAATGAAAGGTTAAATATTTAAAAAAATATATTTAAGTTTTACTTAAAGTTGTCGATACTTAGCCTTAGTTTATCTTATAACTAACATGGTATGAAAGGTTAAATAAATACTTTAATATAAAATTGTATTATATTTTGTTTAAATTTTAAATTTTCAGTGTTAGTTGAATTTAGTCTTAACTAAAATTTATGGTAATTACTCAAACAGCTCCGCTCCCTCGACAAGAACCCCTGCGATTTTCACACTCCAACAAAGCTCCGCTCCTTTCGACCGATTTGACCTCTTCCGGCGACGGCGACGCCGTTTCAGCGGCCGTCGCTGGCCGCCCATTCCTCCCTTGCCGTTGTTTTTCCTCGGTTTTGCAGCCATAGCATTTTCTTTCGTCTCTCCCGTCTGGTGGTGGGTTGGGGAACTGCGGCGGTTCCCGATCGTAATCCGGTGTCTTCGATGCTGCTCGTTGCGATTGGGAATCTGTTGGTTAGTTCTCTATCTTGATTTGGTTCTGTTTGGTGGATTTGGTTATCGGTGAGTTTGGGGGTTAGGGTTCGATTTGGGGCTCTGCGATTTCTCCGTCGGGGTCATCTGTCAGGGCTTGTTTCGGCCCGTTTGGGTGTAGGGTTGGTGGTACTGAGTGTTGGTGTTGGTTTGGGCCGCTTAGCCGGGGCTCGGCTTCCTGCTGAGTAGTTGGCTGATGTGGCGAGAGGGCGATTGTGAGTCTGCGGCTGTGGAAGCGGGTCGGCGATGGTGGTGGTTGGGTGGGGCTCTGGTGGTTGCTGTGTGTCTCATGTGGTGGTTGCCGGAGTTGGAGTTCGGGCAGGTAGCAACTATCCTGGTGCAGCTCGGTTTGGGTTGCGTGGGATCCGATTTTCTCGACCTGGGCTAGTGGTGTTAGCCTAGTTAGGGTTATGCTGGTTGGGGTGGCTGGGCCTGTTCTCCTCGGTCAGTGAGTGCTGTCCTTTGGTTGGGTTCGGGGGCGGGGCCCTGCCTCTTGTTAGGCCTTCGGCAGTTTCGGGGGTTGGGGCTTGGCTAGGGGCCTATCCTTTGGTCAGTTGTAGCTGCTTCTTCGGCTTAGTTGTTTCTCCGGGGGAGGGTCGTTTTTATTTTCTTCAGTGTGTTCGTTCTGTGTGTTTTTTTCGGTTTGTTGTCTTTTTTTTGTTCAGTGTGTTTTTTTTGTCTTTGTTTGGAAATGAATACAAGCTAGACATTGTGCAGTGGCTCTGTTATTTATTTTCGGTTGTGGAGTTCTCTAGGCCGCCATGTGCGTGTCCTCTCAGTTTTCTATTCCTGTTCTTTTATTAGGAGTGTTTTTGGTTTGGGTCGTTGGCCCCTGTCTCATTACCCTGTTGGGGTCTTAGATTTTACCCTGTTGGGGTCTTGGCTTACCCCGTTGTGGTCTTATAATTTGTTCTCTTTGCACTTTTGTGCTTTTTATAGTACATCTATCGTTCCGGGAAAAAAAAATTATGGTTACTTTGATTTAGAAATAAAATCTTTAATATGATGAAGTATTGATGTTGGATTAAAAAAAATACATATAAAAAATAAAATATAACTAGGTGGTCATTCAAAAAAAAATTAAAATGATAAGAAATCTCCGAATATCCGAATCGAACCAAACCGAACCGAACTGTTCAAATAGTCCCGAAAACCGAACCGAACCGAACTGAAAAATAAAAATCTCCGAACCGGACAGAACCGATTTTTTGGTACGGCTCTGGAGATCGAATTTTAGTGATCTCCGAACTTCTGTACGGTTCTGGAGATTGCTCACCCCTAAGTATAACCTAGTAAGCATTCGGGCTTGTTCTTTAAAATCTTATTTTAAAATTTTATTTTAAATATAATTATTTATATTTAAACATCTCATTATTTTAAATAAAATAATTTACATTTAAAACATCTCATTATTGATTTTTCGAAGATAAATTGTAACACCCCGCTTATCAGAGTAAATTTTTCGCAACTTTTATTTCGAAATTACTTATAACTCTTTCGAAATCTTTTTGCGAATTACTCGGAATGCTACTTAAACTCCTTCTTCCTAAAAATCTGTTTAACTTTAACTTTGTCTAATTATTTATTTTAGACATAACAAAACAGATTTTTATATATATATACTTGCATTTAACTATATCATGTTCATATTTATGAAATGATAAAAACTTGAAATCTGAATTTATTTAAAATGCAAGTTCACATATTAATAAGCGTAGCGGAATTACTTAAAAACGTGAATAATTATACAGACTTATTTCATTTATTACAAATGTCCTTTGAAATGAGTACTCGACCATCACCACCACTTTATTTGCTCACACCTCCGGCCCGACCCTGTTACCTGAAAAACATAATGGGGGTGAGTACTGGTCCTTTTGTACCCCGTTAATACCCATACTAAAGTAAACATCAATAATAATACAATATCATGATCTTTGGTATATATATAATAACTGTAACTTAATCTGGCCGATATATTATCGGATACTTGTGCACAATCTGATGGATATTTCTAAGGCACGTATCGCCTCCATCAGAACTTAGGATATAATCTTCGAGACAAATTAATGCCTCCTCATCCCAAGCGTATAAACTTAAACTGTATACATACCTCGAACATGATAACAATATTATACTCAATGTAATACCCAGTCTGGGTCCCCACCTTTCTCCTTTGAAATCGTAAGTGTTGGTCTCGAGTAGCTAACTCTTCAAGCTACATAAAAATACGTAAACAAATATACTAAGTACTATGCTCGTATACTCGGATTTTCAACTCTTTCGGATAAATCATCCAAATCTTATAAAATCTCAATATTCTTGTTATGGTTCAAACTTTTCTTGATCTTTTACTCAATCAAATACTTACTCATATTATTTCTCCCAAATCTTATACATATGGCTTATACTCATTTTTCACTTGATTATCTCGAAAGTGAAAAATAACTCAAATCATACTAAACTTTTCATCATAATATTAATATGTGAGATTTACAACAATCTTTATAAAATTGTATACTCAACATATTAAACTAAAACTTGGTCAAATTGCTCATTACTCATATAAGAATTTTTTTCTAAAAATTCCATTTTAAAACTCAACCATGTACTAAATACTCTTGCATATAAAATCATCTTGACATGTATGCCATATAAATATTTTAACTCGCTCATTTCTCAACATAAAATCATGAAATTTGGCAGTCATGTTCTTAACCCATATATAAGCATGTCGTAAAAATTTCATAATTTTATCATGCGTATATATCGAGTTATTAAATTTTTAAAGTCACAGCTGAAATAAAGAACATAAAATTCAACTTGCATGCTTAACTCCAAAAATTTATAACTCAAGCTATACTATGCCAAATGACATAATTCTTTCTC